AAAGAGCCTTTAAAGTCTTCCAAAAGAATAAGCTGGCGAAGTGACTCAAAATTGTTCTTTACATCATTGGCAGCACACCATTTATCAAAAAGAATGCCCTTCTCCCGTGCAAATTCAACAAAAGTTTGACCATTAGCTTTCCTGTGGTTCCTAAATTTCTGCCTATAGGCCTCAGGAACAAGCTCATAAGCACGCAAAATGGCCTCCTTTAACACATCATATTGCATACTGTCTTCTAAAGAAAGGGCAGCTACTACCTCCTGTGCCTTGCCTACCAGTTTACATTGGAGGAGGATAGGCCACATGTCTTTTGGCCAGTTCAGTGCTGAGGCAATTCGCTCAAAAGCATTGAAATATGAATCAACCTCTGCTTCTCTAAATACTGGTACCAACGAAATATTTTTACTCACATCAAAACCTTGTTTACTGGACACTGTTTCAAGAGCTGCAGACTTGTCAGATATGGTTACAGTGTTACTGGAAGAGATTTTCAGAGCTTGAATTTCAAGTTCCTTTAGTCTTATTTCCTTTTCAATTTCCAACTTTCGTATCTGTAAACGGAGATCATACTCTGCTTTACGCTCTGATTCCCTTTCCTGGGCCTCCAGCTGAAGGCGGACTAAGCGAATCTTGAGCTTAGCATCGGGACTGGACCCCGGAGACTGTGGAGAGAAAGGGTCGAAACGAGGTAAAGTAGCGGGAGCAGGTCTCCCAGCCTGTTCTACAGGAGGCGTGGCTGGTGCAGCTGGCTCAGCTGGCTCCTCCACACCTTGAGATGAAACACCTGCTGTAGTAGAACTAGCCTCGTCAACCTCAGCCACAGGCTGAACAAGAGTAACAAGGATGCCCAATTCAATAAGCTTGTCTACAACCTGTTTCTTGACTTCATCCTTAAGCCCATACTTTTGAACAGGTATATCAAAGTGTGCTGCAATGCACAACAAGTCATCTTTGCGACACACATCAAGCTTCTCAAAAGAGGGAGCATCCACAAAGTCCTGCAAGTTGAAACTCATTTTGTTTTTGTTTTTTTATCTCACATGCCAAACAAACACTAGGAGCAACTTCCTATCGTCAGAAGGAAAGCACAG